GCCAAGAAAACCCCAAATGGTGTCACAGAAAGTTGGACATCACTGAAACGACTGAACAACAAGCCACTTCTGGGACGCTGAGTGACTTGATGTGCAGATATGTTTAATACGAAGGGATTTGGATGTGTTTTTCAGTAACTGCTGTTGGTGTGATTTCTCCCAGTCTAACAAAGTGTGAACCAAATGAGGCCAGTCAGTTCCCAGACCCTGTGGCAGAAGAGAAATTGTTGGTAATCATTTTTTTCCTCCTTTAACAAACAAAACTTGGAGGGTCCCTCCCCAGTTGTCACTGTGAAAGCCTCGGAAAGATGCAGAAAGAAGTCCCTTCAGCCAGGACCAACCCCAAAAGGCAGGCTCTGGCGCTGAGCCCAGTGGGCGGGACCTCCCAAGAAAGGATCAGTTTAGAATTCCTTCTCTTTGTTTCTTTGGGGGAAATCTAAAGCGCTTGCCCCGATTGAAAAGGATTAAAATCCTTTCTTGTTAGAGAAGCGGCCACGTCTACTTTGGGTACTTACTTTCAAAAAGACAGCTCACATTCCTTATATTTTTGCTTGTTTTTCTTAGTCCCACAGTTCCTCGGAGCTTTGGGGGACCTCGAAGAAAGAGACAGTATTAGCTAGCGCTCGCCGAGGGCTGATTGCCAGGTTCTGAGAGAGGGGAAGGAGTTAAGTGAAAATGGCTTGTGAAGTCGCGGCTTTTGAGAAACGTTCCAGTGGTGTGGGCTGTTCCCTGAACCCTTCTGGGGCATTGCTCTGATCTGATGCCGTCTTCCACGCTGGCCGTCCGGGCCAGAGCTAGTTTTGCAGGGGATGTAATGCTGGAAGGGAGAAAAGAAGGAAGTAGGGTAGTTTGTGGATGATTTCAGTTGGAAAAATGAAGTAGGATGGTGATCCTGATTACCCTTTAAGCGACAGCATCTTCGGCAGGTAGACTTGGAGTTAGGAAGAACAGGCTTCACATCCTATCCCCCCACCTCCCAACCCACTCACAAGCTGTGTTACCTTAAGCAAGTAACTTAACTTCTTCGAGATTCAGTTTACTCATCTGTAAAATGGTACAGTAATAGCCTCTTACCTTACAGGGTAGGTGTAAAGACCCGACGAAATTAGATACTGTATGTATAGGGATTTGCAAATCCTTAAGACAGCTAGGTGGTGCAGTGGATAGAGTGCTGTGCCTGGAGTCAGGAAGACTCATCTTTCTGAGTTCAAATCTGGCCTCAGGCACTTACTAGCTGTGTGATTCTGGTAAGTCACTTCACCTCGTTTGCTGAGTTTTCCTCATCTGTAAAAAGAGCTGGAGGAGGAAATGGAAAACCACTCCTGTAAGAAAACCCCAAATGGGGTCATGAAGAGTCAGATAGGATTGAACAGCAATATTAATAAAGTGATACATAAATGCTATTATTATCACCATCATCATTATTATTACTTGTGTCAGTTATTGTTATTTACTCTTATAGAATCCAACAACCATTTACTACCTGTGTGCCCTTGGCCGAGTCATTCAACCTCTGGGCTGTGTTTTCCTCAAATGAAAAATGATGGGTTTAGACTGGATGACCTTTAAGGTCCCCTTCTGCTCCAGTTCATTGATCTTATAAAGTTAGGTATTACAGGTATTGTCCTTCCCATTGTACTGATGAGGAAAAAAAAGTTAAGTGACTCCCCCCAAGTCCCACAGTAACTGTCTGAGGCAGGACCCAGATGTCTTCTAAGTCCTAATTTAATGCACTCATCCTTCAGTGACCTGCTGAAGGGCACCCAGCAAACAGCAGAGCTAGGGCTTGGATTAGGGTCTTCTGACTCCAAATGCAGTGTTTTCCCCACTCTACCACAACACCTCTTCTTTCAGTCCCAAGATGGCGGGATGGTTTTAGACTGTGGAGAAAAGCAGGATATAGTCATTTGTCCTCCCAACCAGTCACAGGCTTTGCGATGAATAGTGGGCTATTCGGCTATCCATTAGGCACCCTTTTTTAGGAGTCAAGAGAGCCAACACCAGCTGTCTGTGGTTTCTCCCTGTTTTTGACCTTCCTAAAATCATAGAATTTCAGAGTTGGGAAGGAACCTCAAAGGCCACCACCCCACCCCTATATAACCCCCCCCCCCCCCCCCCCCGCCAAAGTAGGATGAACAAGTGGCTGTGTGGCTTCCCCTTGAAAACCTTTTGTGAGGCGAAATCCAAGTACTGAATTGAGTGTCACAAGCCCTGAGTTCAGATTCTGGATCTGCCAGGAGAACATTATACATAGTAACAGCAACATTGTGCAATGACCAACTTTGATAGACTTAGCTCAGCAATGCAGTGATCTAAGACGATTCCAAAAGACTCATGATGGAAAATGCTATCCGCATCCAGAAAAAGAACTATGAAGTCTGAATGCAGATGGAAGCATACTGTTTTCTCTTTTATTCTTTCTTGTGATTTTCCCGTTTTGTTCTGATTCTTCTTTCATAACATGACTAATGTGGGAACATGTTTAATATGATTGTACATATATAGCCTATATCAGATTATGTGCCATCTTGGAGAAGAGGGAAGGAAGAGAAAGAGAAAAAATTTAGAACTCAAAATCTTATAAAAGTGGATGTTGAAAACTAAAAATTAATTAATTAATTAATCAATTTTTTAAAAAAAAATTCTGGTTCTGCCACTTACTAGTGCTGTGATCTCAGACAAGTCACATCATTTCTCATGGGTCTGAGCTTTCTCACCTGTAAGATTTTGGGGCTGGATTAAATAACTTCTAAGGTTCCTTCTAGCTCTCTCTTTATGATAATAAACATAGAGGTAGCATCCACTCCATGTTGAGATCACTTTGTAAGTTTTTGCTTACATCAAGCCTAAATCTGATTCTCTGAAACTTCCCCCCACTGCTCCTACCTCCTGCTCTTTGGGGCTGAGCAGAGTAAATGTAATCTTTCTTCCTTGGGCCAGGCCTTCAAATACTTAAAGACACCTATGGAGTTCTTTCTGCATCTTCTTTTCCCTAGAGTCAACATCCCCAGTTCCACCCTTTTATAGCATCTACTATGCTGGTCCCAACCAAAATCCTGACCATCTACAGGAAGTCTTTGTCAACTCTTCTTACTTCTAGTGGCTTTGTTAACTATTTCATATTTATCTTGCATATAACTTGTTTGTACATATTTGTTTGCTTGTGGGTTTTCCTATTCAATTGTAAGCTCCCTGAGGACAGGGATTGTCTTTTACCTTTTTGTATCCCCAGCATTTAGCACAGTGCTTGACACTCTGTAGTAGGTGCTTAATAAATGTTGATTGATTGATTGATTGATTGGTCAACCATCTCTTCATACTCTTCAGCTTACTGGACATTTCCTTCTTACAATTTATCCCCAGGAACTGAACATAGTACTCCACCTGGGGTGTGACCAGGGCCAGTTCCTCAGGGTTATTGTAACCATGTAATGGACACTTATGCTTTGATTAAATCAGCTTAAGATGTCATTAGCTCAAAATCTAAACATTTTTGTGTTAAAAGAAGGAGTGGTAGTGGTGTGTGATTCAAAAAGGTCACCCAAAGCTTGACAATATTAAACTTTGATTACAGTGAACTGAAAAACAATTTTTAAAAACTATTCTTTGAAAGATTTGCTTCTTTAAATGTATTGTCAGTTCCTGTTTTAGTTTGTAAATGAAAACATTTATAGTTTGAATGAAACAAAGTTTTGGAAAAATTAAAACAAATTAATATGTGAAAATAAAAAGATTTCATTAGCTCGTTGAGCTGCCACGCCATATTATTAACTCATTCTATCTACTAAAAGCCCTTAGCTCTTTTTTTCAGAGAGCTCTTGTCAACTCACACCTTTCCCTTCTTGTACTTGTGAAGCTGATTTAAAAAAAAAATCCAAGTGTAGGACTTTGCTCCTATCCATCCCTATTAAATTTCATCTTCTCATATTCCGGCCATTGTTCTAAACTGCCTGATTCTTTCTCCCAGCCTGGAAGCTGTCCCTTCCAGCTTTGTGTCACCTGTAAATATAATTAGGGAAGAGGAAAGGAAGGAGAGGGAATAAACATTTCTTTGCTATGGCTAGGCAAACTTTTTCTTGACTGTTGAATGAATGACCTTCGAGTGCCTTATTTCATCCCAACATTGAACCTGAACTAAGAGGGTTAATCCTGCAATGTTTCCTTTCCTTGTCACATCCACCCAAGTGCAGCATGCTCACTTAGTGGTTTAATGTGCAATAACTATCTTATCACATGAAAGAAACAGCCTTTGAAGTATATAATATAGCAGCATCATAGAATATAAATGCACTAGAACTGAAGTCAAGGGACCTGGGATTGGCTGTCTGTTCTTTTTCTTACTATCTGGGAGACCTTGGGCAAGTCACCTTTTAGTGACTTGGGCCTCAGTTTCCTTATCTATAAAATTAAAGGATTGATCCCTAAAGTTCCTTCTAGCTTTGACATTATATGATCTATGAAATTTATCTACTCTAGGCCAGTAACAGGTTCATTGATGATTCAGGTTTATATAGCAATATAGATAAGTTCATCTTCTGAATTCACTCTCACTTCCAGTAGCTTAATACTGAGCTTTGCATATACTATCTTGTATGAGTCTCACCATATCCTGTGAAGCAGGTGCTACTATTCCCATTTTACAGATGAGGAAAATGAAGCTTAAGTATACTAAGTGCCCAAGGTCACACAGTTAGTACACATCAGAGGCTGTATTTGAATCCCAGGTCTAGATTGAATCTTATGTTCAGGGCTCTCTTCACTGCACTATGCTGACTCATCTGTGCCATCATCAGATGTGTTTGCAAACTGCTTAGTCTGAGACTTGGCCCTTCAAGGTGGAAGAGCTAATGTTCCCTGTTTTTGGAGGGGGTCTGGGTTGGCTTGACCGTAGGAAGAAGGATGCACCGCTCTACTCGAAGCTTTAAGCCCTAGTGACTGGTCTTTAGCTATAGGGCTGCCTGTCCCTGACTGACTTTGCTTATGTGTGTCTTCTCTTACAGATATGTGGTGGCTTCAGATTTTTGCCGGGCTGTTTCTGGCTGGTGTAATCTACTGGGTCATTAACAGGAAGAATAATGAAAAATTGGAAATGAAAGATGCATGGTGGGGCCCAGGAAGTAAGTCCAGCACACGTGAGGATGAAAGTATCCGCCCCTTCAAGGTGGAAACCTCAGAAGAGGAGATCAAGGTAAGTAAGGCAACTTCGTGGGGAGAACCAAACAGAAGAGATAGGCTGAGCTAGGAGACAGGGGGTACAGTGGCTAGAGTGCTGGGCCAGGAGTAAGAATTTTCCTCTACCAATGTAGATGAACACTTCCTCTGCAACTTGTAATATTAGTGGATTGGTTGGAAAAAGCAGTGTGGTGAAGTGGGTAGAGAGCTGTCTGTCCTACCTCTGACACCACAGTAGCCGTGTCTTGTGTTGGTAGAGGAGGATAGGATGGGGGAAGAGTAGGGTAATGCTTTTAGAGGTGAGGGAGAATGGAGCTGTTTCTATAACCTACTCAGAGTATCAGAGACTTCTTCTCATCCTTCTCTGGCTTCTTCTACACCAATTCTCCCCTCTGTCCCTGCCTGCCCAATCCTTTCTCCTGGTCACACATGGGGAAGTAAAAAGGTAAGGGGTGAAGAATAGGGTTAGGGAGGTTCCCTGTGGCCAGATGGCAGAACTATAACTAGGAAAGCTGGAAACTTTGGCTAACTCGACTGAATTTGGGGTTGCATGGGGTGGGATGGTGTTGTCTAAGGTATGACTATTCCTCTGTGTGGTCAAGTACACTAGAGAAAGAGTATAGGGGTGGTGAGAATCTCAAGAAGCCAGAAGATGAGTAAAGAAAGAATCTGGAGAGGTAAAAAGACTGTGAACCTGGTAGTAACTTATTGAGGAGGAGGGCATCCCACCCCACTGGGCAGGGGGTCCCAGGGGAGGCTGTGATGGCTATAAGTCCCCCAGAGGCCAGGCCAGAAATGTACCCCTTGGCACCTGGACAAACCTTGCTAGTTTTGGTCCTGGCCTTGAATTTCCCAGCTCATTTTCCACTAGATTATAGTGGAGGAGGGTACAGATGTGATTGGAATTAATCCATCACCAAATAGTAATTGTACTCCTACAGTGTGCTTTGTACTGATTGAGGCACTGAAGTGGATGTATGTATAGTTGGGGGGCAGGTTGGTACCCAGAAATCAAATGAGTATAAGACATTTGTTTTTTTTAAGTGGTTAGTTCTTTTAAAAAATACATTCAAATGTTTGTGCTTAATGCACCCAAATAAGGTGTTGAGCATCTGGAGCAACATGGTATAGTGGAAAGATTACCAGCTCAGGTGATCTGGGTTCAACTTCCATCTCTGGTGCTTACTACCCCTGAGACCTTGGGTTAATTATTTACTTTCCTAGGCCTCAGTTTCCTTATCTTTAAAATGAGGAGAATGAACTAGATGGTCTTTGAGGTCTCATTTCGGCTCTCAGTCTATAATCATATGCAGTTGTCTCTGCCTTCAAAGAATTTACAGCCTAGATAAGGTAACAAGATTGGCACACATTAGAAGATAACCATAATCCAAAAGGGTGGAGAGGAGAAAACAAAGGGAGATACTTTAATTATTTCCCCATAGAGCAGTGTCACTGCAACAGGTCCCACATACAGCTGTGCACTAAGACAAGAAGAGGTCCTACATCCAACATAGAGAGTTCCAACCTTGTATAGAGAGCAAGAACAGATGCCAACTGGTAGCTCTGTCTCTCATTGTTATTCAGTTATGTCCAACTCTGCAAAGTCCATGGGGTTTTCTTGGCAGAGATACTGAGTAGTTTGCCATTTCCTTCTCCATTGTGTCCCCATTTTATAGATGAGGGACTGAGGTAAATAGGAGTTAAGTGTTTTGCCCAGGGCCATACAGCTAGTAAGTGTTTGAGGCCAGATTTGAACTCAGATCTTTCTGATTCCAGTGCTGGTGCTTTATCCACTGCTCCACCTAATTGTCTCTCATTACCCAGTCACAAACTTTGTTGTAGTTGTTTGTCCTTCATTCTTGAAGAGAAATATGACATCAGCAAGGTGATGTCATGACTTGCAAATGAATTGGATTTAAGTGAGGCAAAGTGGATTTAAGTGAGCCAGAGTCACCAACCTCACTCTCTCCTCCGGAGCCATCTGGGTCCAGAGGCAAGATATAGATCAGGAGGACTGGAAAGGGCCCTGTCACAAATCTAGCGTACAGAGCAGAGTGCAAATACAGAACCAAAATACAGTTCTGTGGCTCTGACTCTAGCCTAATCTGTAGCCTGTAGTAGAAAAGCCAGGGCAGAAAACCCAGACTGAAGGGGATCTATAGTTCTGTTATTTTGAACCTTCAAGACTTTCCACACGGCTGATGGTGGGTGTGTTCAGCAGTACTCTACTGGAGTTCCAACCAAGGGCAAGCCCACAGTTAAGTTGTTCAGGCCAAACCCAGGTCAAGACTTTTCAGAATTCAGACCAAGAGGGCAACACTCAAATTTCACCCTAGGTCAGAGTACTTTGGGCACACTGGAAGCTTGCAGGTCTCCAGCCTGAGCTGCCCCTGAGATCCAATGTTAACTCAACACTCAAAAAACTCAAAAAAGCAGCCATGGGACCCAAGAGGACACAAAACAGGACCAAACAGACATTCTCTATACAAGTGCACAGAACCTAATCCTAGCACAGATTCCAAAGTCAGGAAGTAAGGCTGGAAGAATGAGCAAGCAAAAAACAAATCCCACTATAAAGAGCTGTTTTGGTGACAAGGATATTTAAGACACAAACCCAGAAGAAGAGACTGGCTTCAAAACATCTCCAAGCAAGACCTCGAAGAAAAACACTGCTTGAGCACAAGTTCATCTACAGTTTCTGGAAAAGATAAAGCAAGAATTTAAATAAGAGCTTAAAATGATTTTATAAATGAAATAAGAGAGCTAGCAGAAACAATTGGAAAAGAAATGAGAACAATAGGGGAAAATGGAAAAGAAATGAGAATAAGGAAGAAAGAATTGGAAAGAGAATTAATTAGCAGGATGGCACAAGAAGTACAAACCTTACCAAAGCTACAGATTCCTTGAAAATGTGAATGGACTAAATATAAGTTAATAGCTCCTTGAGACAACAAGAAATATTAAAACATTCAAAGACTGAAAAAAAAATAAAAGAAAGTGTAAGATATCTTATGTCTGCAACAACTGACCTGGAAAACAGATCCAGGAGAGAGAATTTAAGAATCATTGGGCTACCCTGAATGTCAAGACCCCCAAAAGAGCTTATTTCATGTTTCAATAAATCATGAAAGAAAATTGCCAAGATCTCTTAGAACCAGAGAGTCAAGTGAAATTAGAATGAATCCACCAGTAATCTCCTGAAGGAAACTCTAAAATGAAAACTCCCAGGAACATTATAGCTAAAATCTAGAACTTCCAGGTCAAAGAAAACAATATTGCAAGGGCCAGAAAGTCAGGTACCAGGGAGTCACAGTCAGGATCACACAAGGCTTAGCAGCCAACATTATAAAGAGTGAAAAGCTTGGAATATGACCTTTCAGAAGTCAGAAGATAGGTTTACAACCAAAAATAACTTATCTAGTCAGTCAACAATATTTGTTAAGCACCTACTGTGTGCCAATTACTGTGCTAAGAGAAGGGGATACAAAGAAAAACAAAAGTCAGTCCTTGCTTTCAAAGAGTTCAAAACTGAGTATAATCCTAATAAGAAGAAAAATGCATCTTTAATGAAATACAGGACTTTTAAGTATTCCTGATGAAAGGCTCAAAGTTGCATAGGAAGTTTGAAATACAGATATAGAAGTCAAGAGAAACATAAAAAGGTGAATCTGAATGAACAATCATATCATACTAAACAAAGATAAACTGTTTACATTCCAATATGAGGAGATGATACATGTAACCCCTCAGAATCTTATCATCAGGAGTCATAGAGGGAGTCTGATAAGACAGAGGGCCTATGAGTTGTTTATTTTTCTGTTTTGATGATCTAAAAAGAAGAAAAGAAAGGGAAAGGAAAGGAAAAGTAATACATTGATGGGAAAGGGTTTAGCAAGGGTAGAGGGAATTATCTCACATAGTTGGGATCTATAAGTAGAAGATTCTACAAAGGGAAAGAGATAGAGAAAATAGGTCACACTTGAACCTACCTCACTTTCATCTGAATTAGTCAAAGGAGGGAAGAATACACAGTTGAATTTAGGGAAATGGGGACGAAGGGAAAGGTGGGTATAAGAGGAGAATAGATTAAGGGAGGATTTAGTCTTAAGCGAAGCAAACTAACCATGGAGGGTAGATTGTTAAGAGGGGTTTAAAAGGAAAGAATGAAAGGGTTAAGAACTTGTGATTGGACTCTAGTTGACAGCAAAGGAAGAGGGATAGGGGAGCAGAAGCAGACTGTATCAAGCCTAGAACACTGGTGCTGAGCACACTCCTCTCTCTCCTTACCTTCTTCTTTATAAAGAGGGTTCAGGGAAACTCTGATTAGCACAATGACTGACCACCATTCCAGGGGAGTAAGGATGGCACTTGCTTCCTATCTTCTAACAAAGAGATGATGGACCTTTTTGAAGACTGAATTTTTTTTGGATGTGGACAGTACAGAAATTTGTTTTATTTGATTATGCATATTTGTTACAAAGGTTTTCTTTTTCTCTCTTTTTCAATTACTGGAGGAAGTTGGAAGGAGAGAAGATGAATTTTCATTCATCAAAATAAAATAAGTTTTAAAAAAAGATGTCTACAGGTCATAGGACATCCAGTTTGAGATGTCCAGTACATGGTTGAAGATGCAAAACTGGTTGTTAAGAAAGAGATAGGGGCTGGATAAATAGATCTGAAAGTCATCTTCATAGGGATAATAAGGTCATTCCAAATGGGCCCATTACAAGAGTGAAAGCATAGTATTTTGCTTGACTGTACTTTGTTACAAGGGAGGTCTTCTGTTGAGTGTGGGAGTGGAAAGGGTAAGTTAGTGGTTAGTTGACAAAAAAAGGGAGAAAAGGGCATAAATAAAATATTTTTAAAATACTGCTTTCCTAATTCAGTAGCATATTGTGCTTGCTTTAACTTTGTTCTACCACTACCAAACTATAGCGTGCATAGAAACTTAGATCTGGAAGGGACCTCTGAATCACCTAGTCAAAACCCTTTTATTTTTAAAGAGAACAGCTGCCTGATTTGCTGTTTAAATGTTTGTGGATGTCTCCAGGGAATAGAGCTTTTCAGCTGTGTCCTATCCCTCTTTGTTCCTGCTTCTTGCCCCCCCCCCCACCTCCACCCCAGGACTTACACCAGAGGATTGATTTGACTCGATACACACCGCCCCTGGAGGACAGCCGCTTCCATTATGGGTTCAACTCTAATTACCTAAAGAAGGTGGTTTCCTATTGGAGGAACCAGTTTGATTGGAAGAAGCAGGTGGAGATTCTCAACAAATATCCTCATTTCAAAACCAAGATTGAAGGTACTTTTCCAAAATATACTGCTCCACCTTAGCCTTCCCATAGTTCTGCGATGGAGTCAGGATGTGTTCATACGTTGGACATTAGACTCATGTTCCCTAGCCATGTTTCCAGTAATGGTTATTTTAAACTGAAGGATCTCCTGGACCTGGAGATTGATGAAATCTTCAAGATGACGTGAAGATGTCATCTTATCTGTCCCGCTCCCTTTAACAAATCTAGCCAAGTTCAAATTATGTCAGAGCAAGAGATTTATGGCCTCCTCATTTCATTATTCCAATGTTAAATGACAATCCTCTTGTTGGAAAAAAAAAATTTTAATGCCCTAACCCTAGAAATCTTTAAAAAAATCTTTTTAAAAAAAAGGCTTGGGTTTCCTAGAAATAATCCCTTACAGGGCTCCCTTAGAGGTCCAGATTACTATCTGTTCCATAGCACTTGGGGGCCCTTCTGTTCTTGCATACCTATGACCTGATTCCTGGGTAAGCTGACTTCTCTACCACCCACAGCAGATTCCCTGTCCTAAGGTGATTCTTGAAGGTGGAGAAAGATGTTGGTCCTCCCCAGTTTGTTTTTGTGGAGATAACTGAAGGAAACCATCTCCCCATCTCCAGTAATCTACCCTCTTACCTTGGCTACTGCCAGGAACTGCCTCACCTCACACCCCACATCCATGTATTCCTGGTCTCCTTCCCTAGTACTAACATTCATTATTCAATCAATGTTTATAGAGTCATGTGCCCAGCACTATGGTTAGTGCTAGAAGGATACAGAAGTAGAATAAAGTCCCTGTCTTTAAGAGAGTTTAAAAGCCCACTAGGGAGATGAGATGAGAGCACGTGAAACTATGAGAGAGAATATAGGGCACTAAGTGATAAGCAGTGTGGCCAAGATGCTTAGTTTCCTGAGAGCATGGTGTGGGTTGTGGTGGGTTGTAATGTGCAGCTCAGGACCTTACCCAAGTAAATCTGTTTGACCTTGGACCTGACCTTGCTATGTTTCCTTCCAGGGCTTGACATCCACTTCATCCATGTGAAGCCCCCCAAACCACCAGCAGGCCACAAAGTAAAACCATTGTTGATGATTCATGGTTGGCCTGGCTCCTTCTACGAATTTTACAAGATCATACCCCTCCTGACTGACCCCGAGAGCCATGGCCTGAGTTATAACCAGATCTTTGAAGTCATCTGCCCTTCCATTCCTGGCTATGGCTTCTCTGAAGCACCTCACAAGCAAGGTATGAATGCTTTTCTGGAGGCATTGGTAGCAAACCCAGTTCATGTGTAGCACCCCCATTCGGTATCCGGTCCTTACTAAATTCTCCCATAAAGATAGTTATGGGATCCTCCTCCCAGGGGATCTAGGATAGGGATTACTGTCTTTAGAGCTAGAAGATGCTACTGGGAAAGGAGGGACCACAAGGAGAGAGTGGGAAGAGTGAGTTTTGAAGAAACAGGAGCAGTATAATCAAGGAGTAAGGTGGAAGATAGGAAGGATAAGTGATACTGTGTGAAGATTGAGAAGCACTGGCTATGGGGAGGGAGGACCCCGAAGAACAGGGTTAGACTCTCAAAGCTCACAATCACATTCTCATGCTTCCTCTTTAGAAGGGCTGGTGAGCAGCAGGGGAGGGCAGAACATTGAATCAGACTATTCTCTCTCTCTTTTTTTTTTTTTGGTGGGGGGAAGATGGCAGTCGGAGTTAAGTACTTGCCCAGCGTCACACAGCTAGTAAGTTTCTGAGGCCAGATTTGAACTCAGGTCTTCCTGACTTTTAGGCCAGTACTCTATCCACTGTGCCCCCTAGCTGCCTCTACACTATTCTATCTTAATAAACTTAAAACCATTTGTGAACAAGTATTCTCCTGCAGACTTGAGTGCCCAAGGGCTTTTCATGGGTACATGCACATACAGAATCCTATACCTGGATTATATGTACTCCTGCCATTATATGTACAATACACACATATCTTTATACACACATGAATCCACTCACATTTAATTCAATTTATTAAATTTAATTCAATTATTATTATTAAAATTAAATAATTTTTAAGTGCCTGCTATATTTAAGGCACTATTCTGGATGCTAGAAACATATATTCATGTTTCCCCTAAGGCTTCCTTCATTTCTCTTTCTCTGGCTCGACTCTTATTTTTGGGAGGTTTCCATCTTTGTCAGCACGTCAGAAGGCCCTGAGGACTGGGCAGCCATTGTGCTTCCTAATATCAGTTTCCTGCCTGCCTATAATGGCTGTGCTGCCACCATGTTCGTGCATAACCCCAGAACCTCCCCCAGCCTACCTTCATACCACTACACTAGCACCAGCATCATAGAGGTGCAGAAAGGCTGTGTGGACAGGAGAGGAGGTGGTAGTAATAGGTATAGTTGGCTGGTGATGGCAACAGAGGGCAAACTGAGGGAGAGTGATCAGTTCCATCCTGCTACTGACATTCTGAAGTGGTGCTTGGCTTCTGGAGAGGAGAGGGAAACGTAGGCTAAAAGCACTAGGCTGCCAGACTTTCTTTATCCCAAGTGTAGACAGCAGGGGTGAGGGAGTCAGAATCCTGAGGTCCCTTGGATGGTGGGGTGGGTGAGAGTTCTCTCCAGTGGTACAGAGCTCCACACTTTGGGCCCCCTGGGTCTGGTAATCAGGAGACAACGAAGGTCCTGATAACTAGCCCATGGGACTAAGGAACCAGATAGATAGGAACCAGAAAAAGGCTAGGCTCAAAGCATGATTTTTCAGATTCTGCCCACCCCACCCTTTTCCAGGCTTCGACAGTGTGGCTGCTGCTCAGATCTACTGTAAGCTGATGAAGCGCCTGGGCTTCCAAGAATTCTTCCTCCAGGGTGGTGACTGGGGGTCTCTGATCTGTACCAACATAGCCCAGATGGCGCCCTTGTGAGTGCTGTGTTCTTGTGTGTTGTGTGAATATACAGGCGCTTATGGTGAGGAGGCTGGTCTTATCTGCAGGGATAGGGGCATTCATAGCAACAGAAGCATCCTTCTCCCCCAAAGGGTTCTTGTGTGGCAGCCCAGTTTCCACCCCATCTCAGGTACCTTGGTCCTGGCTGGTACCAGATACAGATTTTGGCTCTTGCTTCAGATCTTCTCATGCCACAGTACATGAACTCCCTGGTGCTCAGTAGTGTTTTGGGGCGAGGGTGATGGTATCCATAAATGCTTGCTGCCATTTAATGCCAAGGACCTTTTGGCACAAAGACTGAGTTTTTGAGGTGGGATTTAGACCCAGGTCTTCCTAACTCCTTTCCCATCCTCCATATACAACCACTGTTAGTCACCAGAGACACAGGTTGTCCCCATTCTAAAAAAGGGTGAACTGAGGTCCAAATCAATGATGTGCCCCAAGCAGGCCCCATGACAGGGTTGAGGGGAAGGAGAGGGGAAATAGCCCGGGACTAGGCTCTTGGGTGGAGTACTCAGGCTACTGAAATTTGGGAGAGACCCTGGGTAGAATGACCTGTAATCCCAGCATCCCTCTAACTCCATGGCCTTCTAAAGGGATTGGAATGAAGCCCAATAGACATTGATCCTAGAATGGCCGGATGCTGAATGTGTACCTCTTCTTTCTCCCTGTGCTCCTGGACACCTCACCTTTTTCTCTTGTCCTGGACTTTGTCCTTTACCCTTCCCTCTCCCCATTCTCTTTGCCTTCCTTTCCGGCCCCCACCTCCTCCTTGAAGGCCCACTGGCCTGACCTAAATCCCCTTTCTCTGGATTCCTAGACAGGTGAAAGGTATCCACTTGAATATGTGCTTCATTGATTCTGGAACATTCTCCGTCTTTGTGTCTCTTCTGTTGGGACGGTGGTTCCCATGGCTTTTTGGCTTCCAGGAGAGGGATTTGCAGCTGTTGTACCCTGCCAAGAAGATCCTCCATTACATATTTAGAGAATCTGGCTACATGCACATCCAGGCCACCAAGCCTGATACTGTAGGTAAGAAGTCATCCCACTGTCCTGCTCATGGACGGAATTTTTCAGAGGCCTAGGATTGGCAGATAGCAAAAGAAAACAAAACAAAAAAAAATAAATAAAACCAACCAACCCAACCCTTAAAGCAACATGGAGGTCCTTAGGCCAGCCTCAGCCTTCCTACTCAGTTTTGAGACTTCATCCAATTCAATCCAATTTAGTTCACTAAGCATTATTTATTTATTTATTTATTGCTTTTTGGTGAGGCAATCAGTGTTAAGTGACTTACTCAGGGTCACACAGCTAGTAAGTGTCATGTGTGTGAGACCGGATTTGAACTCAGGTCCTCCTGACTCCAAGGCCAGAGCTTTATCAACTGCGCCACCTAGCTGCCCCTACTAAGCATTTATTAAGCACCAGATACTGTACTAGGCACTAAGGATACAAAAAATAGAAAAGAAGGTAGGCTCTGCCCTCAGGGAGCTTATATTCTCCTGGGAGAAAACAACTTGTACATAGACAAGTGCATGCAAAATACGTGCAATATAAATAAAATAATTTTGTTGGGGGGGGGAGAGGATTTGCTCAAATTCAAGAGAATCAGGCTCGGTGTCATGTAGGAGACAGTACTTGGGTAAGCCTTGAATGGAGGTAAGGGTTACTGAGAGGCGAAGGTGAAGAGGGAGAGTGTTCTGGGCATATTCAAAGGTGCAGGAAAAGGAGGTCATTGTAAAATGAAAGGGTTGCACTAGATGACCTCTTGGCACATTTCTGGCTCTCAGTCTTGTAACCCTGTGTAAAAAGATGTCATGTGTGGGGCAGCTAGGTGGCACAGTGGATAGAGTACCGGCCCTGAAGTCAGGAGGACCTGAGTTCAAATCTGGCCTCAGACCAAACACTTGACACTTACTAGCTGTGTGGCCCTGGGCAAATTACTTAGCCCCACTTGCCGGAAAAAAAAAAAAAAGGATATCATGTGGAAGAAGGATTAAATTTCTAAAATCCATGGCCCCAGAAGGAAAAACTCAGACCAATAGGTGGAAGTTACAGGGAGACAAATTGCTTTATGAGGTTGCAAGCTCCCTGCCACTGGAGGGATGCAAGCAAAGAGGCTGGCTGATAGTTTTGCTTGAATTGGGTGGGGAGCTGGACTAGATGACTTTCAAGTTCCATTCTAATTTCATCAGGCAGGTAAGGCAGGAATTATTATTTCCATTGTTTCTCAGTTAAGGAAACTGAGGCCCAGATGAGTGAATTGACTTGTGAAAGAGAACCTGACTTTTTTCCCCATACTAGGCTGTGCACTGAATAACTGCCCTGTGGGATTGGCTGCCTATATCCTGGAGAAGTTCTCCACATGGACCAATTCAGAATATCGGTACCTGGAGGATGGAGGCCTGGACAAGTGGGTACCATTTTTTCTCTCTGGAGCATGGGTCCCCAGCCATACCAGACTCAGAGAAACTTAGACAAGCAGAAATCTTGCCTCTGCTTCTTCACACATTATTCCTATCTTTATCTCTGGCTGCTTAACTCTGAAGGGCTGGAAACAAGTCCTCTGTTTTGGCCAACTCATAAATCCTAACCCTGTGAGGTAGGAAAGGGCCATTAGAAATTATCCCCTTTTTTATGTATATGGAAGCTGAGGTGTAGAGAGTTAATATTTTTTTTACCCAAAATACATAGTAATGGACCCAGAAATAGAATAATCACAGTGGGCAATGGGCAGTGTGTCCAGGACCCTGTGGGGGAAGGAGGGCTGTACATTTAGAGTATAGGGAAGGGAGCAGCAAGGCATAATTGACCTATTGCTTGACTTGGAGACAGGAAGACTTTGGTTCAAATCCCGCCTCAGATAGCTGTGAGCCTTGGTAACCCTAGGAAAGTCATTTAAGTGCCTCAGTTTCCTCATCTGTAAGGTGACAGAGGTGGAATTGATGATATCTGAAGTCTCTTCTAGCTCTGAGTCTAAGAGCAAAGAGATGGAGTGGGAATTTGACTGGTCTCTCCCGTGGGTAGGATCTCAATCTGGGTGTATGAGGAGGCAAGAACACATGGAAGTCATTGTCCATTTCTGTTTCCCAGAAGGCACATCTCCAGATAGCAGGGACTCCAAGACTTGACATGCTCAGTCATGCTCCATTAACTCTAACTCTGGACTTTATTCTCCAATTAGTTTGTTAAATATTTAATATTGACCCGAGTCTTAGGTATGCATCTTATGTAAACTTTGTCTTTCTTAGTGCCTAGAACTTATATGTATACTGCAGGCACTTAAAATCTCAGCCACCTGGATCCTGGACCCTCATGCTCAGGCGGTACGCCAGCTCATGGTCGAGTGTTTGCCGGAGGTGGTAGCTGGAGGGAGAGAAGGTTCTCATTATAGGCTGAGCATGTGTGCCTACCCTGGTATTTATTCTCCACTGGGGACCAGTTTTTGCTTGTCTGTACATTATTGATAGCTAACATGAATTTCAGCTCTTCCCTCAGGTTTCAGCATGCAAGCCGTCAGGGTTAGTGAATAATACGCGGCTGTTGTCCCAGCTGATTTTCCCCAAGGCTAGGAGGAAAGGTGGATTGGAAAGGCATCCCTGAGGTTCTTCAGGGGGTAGCCCTCTTCCCACATCTCTGCCTTTCCAGCTCTGACTGCATTCCTGCCCATTACCCCCTGGCTCGCTGGTTGCAGTAGGGGCGTTTGAATACTCCTTGCTCTCCATCCCTGCTTCCATGTCCTCCCTCTACTGGCATCACTCAGTCATGTCTTCTTTGAGGTTCACTCAATCCCTACCTACTGCACCATCAAAATTCTGGGAGCCACTGTCTACCAACCTCCAGGACACTCTCCTTCTTTCCTTAATGCGTTCAGTGAGCTTCTGCCCTTTCCAACTCTTGCCTTCATACCAGGGGACTTCAACATACATGTTTCTATTCTCTCAAATACCTTCAACTCACAGTTCTTCACCTTATTCATATCCCATGATCTACTCCTGTATTCCACTGCAGCCACAAAGTTGGTGATCCCCTTAATCTTACCATCTCCCACAAACATGTCGCTTCCACGTTCATGAACTCTGCGATTCCCCTACTTGATTACACTGTTGTCATTCTACTTCTCCTTCTGCCTTGTACCCCCGGACCTGTTCTTCATCCTTGCTGTGAGTTCCAATCCTTCACACCTCAGTTTTCCCAGGTTGTCGCCCTTGCACTAACTGCACTCTCCTTCCCCATCTTGAAACTTTGGTGAAGCAATTAAACTCTACCTTGTCCTTTTCTTTTGAGTCTCTTGCCCTCATATTGATAGTCTTGTCCTGACAAGCCTCAGACTTGAGTCATTCTCACCACATGCTGCCGTTGCTACTAAAAAAAAAAAAAAAAAAAATTTCAAACCAACGACGATTGGATTCACCTGCCTAATTACCTCACTGTCCCACTCTGCTACAACACCTCTTGCCAAATCTTTTCATCCCTCCTCAAGCCCTCCCATGGTTCTTTCCCTCTCCCCCACCACCATCTTGCTTTCACCTTGCCTCATTTTTCACTGAAAAAAACTGAGGCCATTCTCCAAAGAGTTCCCTAAGTGGCACAGTGAATAGAGCATGGGGCCTAGAGTGAGGAAGATCTGAGATCAAATCTGGCCTTAGATACTTACTAATTTTGTGACCCTGAGCAAATCATTTAACATCTGCCTGCCTCAGTTTCCTCTACTCTAAATTGGAGATAATAATATCACCTACCTTGCAGGTTGTGAGGTTCAAATGCGATAATAAAGTGCCTAGCACAGTGCCTGGCATGCAGTAGGCATTTAATGTTTCTTTCCTTCCCATTCCCTCTTCTCCCCTCCCCCATCATTTCATATCACCCATTGACTTTGGCTGCTGTCTCCTCCTTCTTCCTTGTGCCACGTGAACAGGTTGCTTTACTCCTTTACACAAGGGATCCCATTCCATGTCCTCCATCATCTTTGTTGTCTCATCTATGTTCAATTCCTCCTTGCTTACTAGCAGCTTCCTACTGCCTCCAATCATATTCTCCCCCATTCTCAAAAAGCCCTCACTTGATAAATCCATCCTGTATTATCCATCATCTCTTTAGCTATTATTATTATATAATTACACATTATTATATAATAATCATATCATATAACACTGTAATAAATATATAATATAATACTATTTATTGTATAATAATTATATATTATTATCTATTATCCATTATCTCTTCTTCCCATAATCAATGCCTCTACCTCCTTTCCTCTTGTTTTC